CCCCCCCCACCCCACCAAAAAAAAAAAAAAAAAAACCCACATAAGCAATGGTCCTAAGCTTTATTATTTTTAATCTTTCCTTTAATCGTATTTTGCCTGTCATTTATGTATTTATTGAAAGGATTACAAATAGCTAGTCATCACAGAACAAAGCTGAGGAATTTATTGGCTAAGTCTCTTTGCTACTGTCACTTTTGTTTTTGAGATATGGCTTGCTCTGTTAGTTTGTTCAGACTGTCTTAATTTCCATTGCTCAAATGATCTTCCTTCCTCAACTTCCTAACAGCTGGTGTTACAGATGCAAGCCACCATCTCTGGACTCTTCTTACCCAGTTCTTTATCTCTATCAATTACATTTTGTTTTGCATGGATAGGATTTAAGAAGGATCAAGACTTTTCTGCCAGATTTTTGTTTTGTTTTGTTTTGTTTTGAGACAAGGTTTCTCTGTGTAACTTGGAACTTGGTTTGTAGAGCAGGCTGGCTTAGAACTCACAGAGATCCGCCTACCTCTGTCCTGAATGCAAGGATCAAAGGCATGTGCCACCACTACCCCAGATGTTCTTAAAAAGTATCATTATTTAGGGAGAAAAATGAGCATTGATAGGGATCAAAAAATTATTTTTAAATCACAGCTGCTGTTGTAGGCTTCTGCCTAAGAAATTATGTTTGACTAATAGAAGATAAGCAGAAGTAAGAGCAAAGATAGAACCCCAAGGCAGATGAAACCTTACCAAAGAAATTATGGTCTTAAAGCCCATGCATTCCATGTAAAGCAAAAACAAAGAACAAGAAATGTTTTATGTAAAAAACAGCATGAAAACATATCATTAATCTATAAAGTTCTATGCATGATATGAAAACATCTGGACTCACATGCTAGGACTCAATGTATAATGATGTACAAAAGGCAGAAATAAAAGTGATTTCCTTCAATCACAAGGATGGTCTCTGATATACTCAAAAATGCTTCACCAATTCTTCCCCACAATAATTTGAATATAATTATAATGAAAACTCCAAATCAGCACAATGAAGTATTCTACAAAGTGCCACACATCAAATAATTTTCAGTTGCCACTTTATAGAATTGTGCTTAATATTTTAATGAGTACTATAAGATATGTAGAGTATTTAATGTAAGATTCGATATAGTCATCCTTCAGAAATTAAGCTTTTTGCTTCTCATAAGAGATTGAAGAAATAAAACAGTTCATTGGAGAATGTTGGGAGAAAACAAAACAAAACATCCCAAGCAAAACAAAGCAAAAAACCTTCTGCTCACTCACCCCAAGATTCATGAGATAATGTTGGAGAATGACACACAGAAGAAGCAATATTTATAATCCAGGAAAATCAAAAGGAAATATTTCTAAAGAATGTTATTTAAGGCCAAGGAGTTAACATATCTTTTTATTATTAGTGTTGTACACCTTTAATCACAGTACTTGGGAGGCAGAGGCAGGAGCATCTCTGTGAGTTTGTGGCCAGCCTGGTCTATAGAGTGAGTTCCAGGACAGCCAATGCTACACAGAGAAACTCTGTCTCAAAAAAAAAAAAAAAAGTAAGATTCCTAATGACTTTTAAATCATTTAAAACAAAACCAGCCTGGGAATGCTAAAAATTTAATGCTGATATATGGATTCCTATTTTGTCTGTATTATAATTTTTCAAGTATTCTCAACTATCAGAAATAGTAGCACATTCAATCATTTTGTATTCACCACAAACTAGGGTGATGAACCTGAAAGCTTCCAAATTCCACCTCCAAAATGATGCCGAGATATTTTCCTTAATAACTAATGCTAATGTTTTAGTAAGGGTTCAGAGACACAAGAAACAATTCAGACTCTCTGAAAAAGTTTATACAGTAACTGTGACAAACTTGCAAACATTTAGAGCAGCATAAAAGCTAAATACAACTATATGCAGAGAAAAATAAGTCAGGCAGGAATAATAAAAAAGTATCAAATGAGAACAGCAGCCAAAAACACCTATCTTAAAAAGCAGTAATAATAAATTATTTAAAACATACACACCAGAATATTCCCCTGGGTAGGCATCCCAAGAGAAAAATGGACAAGAAACTCAATTAGATTGTTTTCAGAAAGCAAGAACTAAACCCATTTATTCTAAAATGAGAAAGATCTGACAAAGAAACTGAATCTATATAGTAAAACTATTAACTATATACAATAAAGTGTAAATATTATAAAAGGAAAAAAATTGGGTATTCCTGAGGAATATACCTTATAATTCCAAAAGTTTCAATTAAACTTACACAAGTCAATAATGAATTCTCTTAAAATGTAGTGTATAAGCAGGATTATCCAAAACTTTTTATTTTGAAATGTATCAGTAAAGCTAATTATAAGAAAAATACAACTTGAAGGAATCCTATCTCTATTTAGAATTGAAATATAAATAATATACACATAAATTTTAATTACAGAAAAATAAGCAAAAATAAAAACAACAACAACAAAAAACAAACAAACAAACAAAAACACCCCATTCTGCAGTTTTTATAACTGTCAAGCTAGATCCAGAGAAGGGCACATGGCATCGGGATGATCTGCAATTCCTTGACAATGCATATATCATTTTACCTAGTTGTATACATTATTACAAAGACGAACTCTCTTTAAAAATCCTCTTAAAGGACTCTCCATCTCAAAAGGAAAATCACAGATTTTGAAGTGAGGTAAAACTGTTGGGACTATTTCACATTCCCATTTACCCGAATCACGGTGTGCTGTGCTAAATCTGCAACAATGGTGAAGACACAGCTGTGTCTGACACAGTGAACTTGTAGCCTGTCCAGGCAGACTGGCTCATAAACAACAGGGAAGTATGAGGGATGGCATAATGAACTTCAGTGCTACAGGTAGACTTTAAGGATGACTACACATAGAAGGTCAAAGCAGAATTCCTGGAAAACATACATCTTAAGTAGAGACGAGAAAATGAATATATGCAAATATTTAGGAGGCCAAATACATAGGAACTGAAGGTTGGCTGTGAGGGGAAAGTGAGAGGTCTAAGATGGAGAGTTCAAAGATGGCAAAGAGGTTCACTTTCACTCACAGAGATAGAAATACTGGAGAATTGCATGTTGAGTCTGTTTTTTACTCTGCTATGTCCCAGTATCTAGAATGGTTTGCTGGGCAGTGGTGGCACACACCTTTAATCCCAGCTCTTGGGAGGCAGAGGCAGGCGAATCCCAGTGAGTTCGAGGCCAGCCTGGTCTACAAGAGCTAGTTCCAGGACAGCTAGGACTGTTACACAGAGAAACCCTGTCTCGAAAAACCAAAAGAATGATTGGTAGCAGACAGCAGTATGCCATCATCACACAGTAATAGAAGAGCAGGACAAGAAATGGAAGGATGGTAACACTTAACTTTAGGAATCATAGAAAGTAGAGATTTTACTTTTAAAAAGGAAGGAACCAAAAGCCAGTCATGGTGCTGCACACTTGCAATCCCAGCAGTAAGAACCTAAAACAAAAGGAATGCCAATAGTTCCAAAGACAATCAAGGCTTGGGGGCGGGTCTCTTAGTAAAAGATAGTGAAGTTGAAAATCCACAAGACTAATAGGAAGAGCATCCTGGGAGTTGGATGACCAGGTGTATACTTCCACATTATAGAGAGCAGACATAGAGAAAGAAATTGACAAAAGGGTCATCCAAAATAAGTTAAGAAATAAGATATTAATGAAAAGAAAGGAAAATGAACTCAGGCAGCGGGGCACACACCTGTAACCCTGGCACTTGTGGGGCAGAGTCAGGCAGATCTCAAGGATGGAGACAAGCCTGTTCTATAGAATGAATTCTAGGACAACCAGGGCTACATAGACCCAGCACTCGGGAGGCAGAGGCAGGAGGATCTCTGTGAGTTCGAGGCCAGCCTGGTCTACAAGAGCTAGTTCCAGGACAGGAACCAAAAGCTACAGAGAAACCCTGTCTCGAAAAACAAACAAACAAACAAAAAATGTAAAACTTGCATAATAACAAACAATGTAGAATGGGCAACAATATGAGGAAGGAAGGGTAGTGGTAGAGTTTGGGAAGAAGTGGCAGGAGTTGGCCTGAACCAGATGAAGGCCAAGTAAAAAGAAGGCCACACTCTTTCAGACCCTCGTAGCTTGAGGGAACTGTCAGACTCTGGCTTGCATTTTTGGTAGGTGGGAAAAAGCGGACACACAGCCAGGAAGTGAGTGAATGTCCTTCTCAGGACACACTGTAACAATGCTGTCCCCTCNAGGTCCTGAGTTCAATTCCCAGCAACCACATGGTGGCTCACAACCATCTGTAATGGGGTCTGGTGCCCTCTTCTGGCCTGCAGGCATACACACAGACAGAATATTGTATACATAATAAATAAATAAATATTAAAAAAAGATTAATGGAAATTTAAAGATCCTTTCAGCAATTAAAGGAAACAATTCTAGAACAAAAGTTTGATAACAAAACTAGCAAAATGAATAACGAGAGATAAAGAAATAGACTGCACTCATCACCAACCCAGGTCTAATTAGGAAAAACCTTAGCTGGCACAAGTACACTCTACCGTATAAGCTTTATTATTGATCCCTGAATTACACAGAAACCACTGACCATCTTTTTAAAGGTGGAGTCTCACATGTCCTGAAGACAAACTTGAACTGTGATTTTTCTGTTTTTTCCTTCCAAGTGCTGGTGTGTGCTACCACAGCAGGTTTAGCTGTGTGGGGCTGGAGCCCAGGACTTCCTGTATACTAGGAAAGCACTCTACTTACTGAGCTCCATCGCTGGCCCTTATTTACCATTCTTGACTCAAGTATTTATGTATCTGGAATGTTCTAAAGCTATACATGCCAATATCTGCAAAGCAGAAAAGAGTAGTTTAAGATAGTCCCTTATGTTCAATAGGGAAAGGAAACCAAAGAATTTTGCTTTTAATATGTAACTAATTTTCTGACTTTCAAAAAGTTAAATCTTTTAGATTTAACTAAAAGACCACCAATCTTTCTACCTACTATATGGCTTAATATTTCACAGGAAAAGAAAGTTATAGTATCACTGACTTCAAATTTTGTATTACTCACTACTAGAGCAATGTATACAAATCATCCTCCTAAGTACTTCATTCAAAGAGCAGTAGAAATGACATAATGATAAGTGATCCTGGTGGTTGTTATACAATTCTAATATGAAAAACTTAAAATGCTGTATTCAGTAAGCATGAGTATATTCATCTCTCTGTTCACTGAGTGTGAATGCAACATCCTCAGCTGCCTCAGGCTCTCGCTCCTGTAACCTTCTTGCAATGACGGATTATAACATAAAACTAACACTTGACAAAGGCAGCTTCAAGAAGGAAGAATTTATTCTGGCTCCAAATTCACTGAATTAGTGCTTCCAGATCTGAAAAGAGAATCTTCTGCCACAAATGGTGGCTCACGCCTTTAATCCCAGCATTTCCTCCACAGGCAGAGGCAGGTGGTGAGTTTGAGGCCAGCCTGGTCTACAAAGCAAGTTCCAGGACAGCCAGGGTTACAAAGAGAAACCAATAAAAGAATAAATAATTTTTTTTTAAAAAAAGAGAGAGATGCTTCTAATAGTTGCAGAAGGGAAGGATCCTAAATTGTTACAATGATAAGGGTGGAGAGTTCAGCCCTAAGTGAAACAGCTATATCAGTTCCTCTAAAGTTCTGGGAGCAAGGAGAGGGGGACAAGAATGTAGGGATGGAGAATAAGGTGATAGGCTGCAAAAAGATGTCTCCTGGACAAGACGTGGCCATGCACTCATGAACTCACTGCAGCCATGGTGACCTGCATAAGACCTTCATAATGCTGGACCAGTGCTTCATCAAGGAGGGAGCAGGGCACATGAGACTCCACCCCTCCCTCGGAATGTTAATGGCTCCTGGGTGTAGGTGCCATTTTCATCAGTGGTATACCCACTGAAAAGTAGCATGTGCTCCCATCAACAGCCTCTCTCATACATGCTCATGTAAGCAACACACAGAGAACAGGAAAGCAGAAGGGGAGTTTCTTAGGATGAAGAGTTTAGCTGCAGAGAGGGACATGAGGAAGATGATGGAGTGGAAGTTGTCAAAATACATTATATATATGTAGGAAACTTTCAAAGAATAAGACGTTTTAGATTACAAAAAAGGGGTTGTACTCAAAATACAATGAATTTTACTAAGTGTAAATCTTAATATGTACTAAATTTTAAATTCTTCCTAGCATTTTTTGAATTTATCTTTAAATTTGCTGAGTTTTATTATATTTTTTATTGCATGTGTGCACAAGTAGATGCCATGATGTGCCAATAAAACCAGAGGACCCCTTGCAGGAGCCCATTCTCTCCTTCCATCATATGAGTTCTGGAACTGAACTCAGGTTGTCAAGCTTGCTGATGAGTGCCTTTACTCACTGAGCCACCTTGCCACCTCAATCAATTAAACTTTCAAACAACTTTTCCATGTGACACTGAAAAAGAAGATATAAATTTAAATAGTCTCCTCAAGAACTACTCTTTCTGAGCCTTCCTTTGAAAAGCAATTCATTTAATTCTTCTAAGATTTTTCTTAAGATTTTAATGTTGGGAGTCTATGTTTAACTATAGAGTTAAATGGGGGGGGGGGTAGAGAGATGGCTCAGGGATTAAGAGCAGAGGAAGAGTTCAATTCCCAGCAACCACTTGGTGGCTCACAACCATCTGTAATGAGAACTGGAGCCTTCTTCTGACCTGCAGGCATACATGCAGGCAGAACACTGTATACATAATAAATAAATCTCTAAAAAACAAACAAACAAACAAACAAAAAAGAGTTAAATCGGCAGACTTTTAAATCTTGATTTCTATGTTTACATAGAACTTTTATGTGGGGAGATGGGGGTTTAGGGTTATATAATCATTTATTATGTGTGTATGCAGGTACTGCCTGCACATTTATCAGTGTGTTATATGCATGCCTAATGCCAGTGGAGGCCAGAAGAGGGCACTGGATCCTGTGGAACTGAAGTTACAGATGGCAATCCTGAGGTTCTAGAAGAGCAGTCATTGCTCTTAACAACTGAGTTATTTCTCCAGTTCTGTGGGGTTTATTTTTTGTTTGTTTGTTTGAGATAGGGTCTCACTGTATATCACAGAGATCTATCTGCCTCTGCCTCCTGGGGTACGTGGATTAAAGGTTTATACTGCCACACTCTAACATTTTGAAGTAGAAGTCTTCCTATGTTGCCTGAGCTGGCCTTTCACAGTTCACTTCCCTCCACACTCTGAGGACTAGAATGGTAAGAATGTACCACTATGCCTGGCTGAACTTGTCATTTAAAATAAAAGCGAACAAAAAACCTTTACAATGTCAAGCACATAACTGGTAATCAATAAATTTAACATAAATTAATAAAAACAATTCACTCATTCCATATTTACCTGACAAGTATAGTCACTAGTATGATGACAGTAAAAGAAACCTTTATTGTTGTTGAAGCTTAGTATCTACACAAAGCAAATGCCTGAAAATTCTATAGGTTTAAATTTCTACACAGTGTTAATCTACAAGGAAGGTATGATCCCTGGTTGTCTTAGAACTAACTCTGTAGATCTGGCTGGACTCAGATCTCCCTAGGCAGAGTATTAAAGGTGTGAACCACTAATCCATCTGAGAGAGGTCTTTTTCCAATCAAACTTAACTGATGCACAGAAGAGGTTAGCTGGCTTTATTCCACAAATGCATCTACCTCCTACATTTACACACAATGAAATATCAAGACAGAAAAAAGGGTTAATCAATTTGGCAAAGATAATCCAGAAAATTTATAGTGGAAGAGTTGAATACAGTACTTCCCCACCCTCCAGTTATGTGCTCAACAACACAACTTTTTTTTTTTTTTTTTGGAAGGAGACGACCCAGCAGCAGTGGCTAGGAACTGGGCTACAACCCTAGCTTAACACAAGCTTTAAAATGACTGCATTTACTAGAGAGGTAAAAATTAATGCTCTAGGAATGTAAAAAAAAGTTCAAGCCAAGTGTTATATTGCCTATTAAGTTCAACAAAACACAATGAAATTTATATAAGAGCTATTTGCCCTACCAATCATACATGTACACACACATCGCATTTGTTCCTGATGTATAATATCTATTCTTAGAATACAGCAATTCAATAAGCTGTACGATTTAAATTAAAAATATAAATTTAAAAGCAAATTCAATTTTTATCATTTCTATATATAAAGGTGTTTTTTATTAATACATTTACAATATCAAATTATATGTTCTAAGAAATTCCGAAAGTACAATAACCTTGTACCATCAGGCAATCAGGACATTTTAGACGAATTTTCAATCAAGCCATTAATGAGATTTATTTTTAAACATTATGGTACTTCTCCAGAGGAGCTGTCATACCTAGTAAATCTGCTCCTTCATCCACATCTCCAATGAGGCCTGAGCCAGCTGAAGACAGTTCTTCAAAGAGAGATTCTGTATTTCGATCAAAAGCTTTGTTCTCTATGCCTTTGGTGGGAGTGCTATGCAACAAAAACAATAAAGCCAAATCAACAAATTATAAAGACTTTTTGACAATGTATTTTAATGTAATGATTAAGCAGCAAAGGAATTTCTGACACTTTGAATTTACTATAACCAACACAAAAAGGTTTCTCAGTGGTTTCCTAAGGAACTTTCCCATAGAAGGAGAGTTATGCTCCTACTGTGAAGTCCTAGGAAACACAAAATAATGGTAGGTAGTTACTTGGGTTCGTATCACACACATTGTTTTATTTACAGCTACTCCAGAAAGCATATGCTACTATTACCCCAGTTTTATAAATAAGGAAATTAAAGAGCTTAAGGAACTTAACAAAATCATTCTGCAATTAGGAAGAAGAATTCAAATTAAGGCAATGTTGACTTATTTTATTTTTAAAGACAGGGTCTTACTTCATCCAGGTTGACCCCAATCTTGCTATATAACTGAGGGTGACCATGGGCTTTTGATCCTTCAGTGACAGGCTTGTGTAACTAGCCTGACAAAAATTAAGACACTCTAAAGAGACTGTCTCCCACTCTGACTACTGAGACAATGGGCCTCAAGAAATGTGAATTTTCCCAGGAATTTCATGTCAGAAGGAAAAGATACCAGCCAGCAGGACAACTTTCTCCCTGAAAGGGTTCTTACACAGTGCTAACAACTTATCAGACCACCTTACAGGATGAGACTGAAGCCTAGACAGTGATGGGTCTATGATCTCACTTCAAGTCCACAAAGAAGGTCTTAGGAGTTCCCTGATCTCTCTGTTCCTCTCCCAATGTGGCCACAATGAATAAACCAATTCTGCCACCTGCCCTCTTTCTGGTTTCTACCTTTAGTTTGGCTTTTACCTGGCTTACTGAGGACGGATGGGGGCCGGACAAGACTTGGGGCACAGATTGTGACCCACAAGTTTGAGAACACTCACACCATCATTCTGGGTTGATACAGTGCTGAGTGGGGATCAATCCCAGGGTTTCACACCTGCGAGATAGCACTCTGCCAAATGAGTGATGGCCACAGCAGAACCAGTCATCTTAACTATGGTACAAGTTAGCATGGTTTTATGGCTTTTTTTTCCCTAAAAGTGACACAAGAAGCCAGACATGGAGGGCTCATGCCTTTATTCTCAGCACCTAGCACTCAAGAGGCACAGGCAGATCACTGTGAGTTCCAGGTCAGCTTGGTCTACATACTGAGTGGCAGCCAGAGATACAAAGTCAGACATGTCAAGAAAGAAAAGAGGAGAGGAAGAAGAAAATAAGGGGAGGGGAGGGAGAAACAAAGGAGAAAAGTCCTGGAACTCATGGGCAGACCTAGGCTAGGAATACTGTTGGCTCTACCTCCCAAGTTCTGGGATTACAGGCATGCACTATGATGACCATAATGCACTACTTATGACCATAAGAGCGTCTGACATTTTGCTGCTGTTGCTTTTTTTAAGATTTATTTATTATTATGCACATAGTGTTCTGCCTACATGTATGTCTGTATGCCAGAAGAGGGCACCAGGTCTCATTACAGATGGCTGTGATCCACCATGTGGTTGCTGGGAATCGAACTCAGGACCTCTAGAAGTGCAGCCAGTTTTCTTAACCTCTCAGCCATCTCTCCAGCCCTATACAGTTTATGAAACATATATGTGTATAATACGTAAAGTAAAAAATTTTTACTTTTTGGTTTAAGTCATTAAAGGCTGGGCAGGTTGGCCCATGTCTTTAAACCTTTAAGGACAGCAGAGGCAGAGGCAGGCAGATCTCTCAGTTCAAGGCCAGCCTGGTCTAGAGAGTGAGTTACAGGACATTCAAGGCTACACAGAAAAAACATGTCTCAAAAAAACAAAAACAAAAAAACCCCAACAAAACAAAAGAAAAAAAAAGGGGCTGGAGAGATGGCTCAGAGGTTAAGAGCACTGGCTGATCTTCAGGAGCTTCTGAGTTCAATTCCCTGGTTCAATTCCCAGCAACCACATTGTGGTTCACAACCATCCATAATGAGGTCTTGTGCCCTCTTCTGGCCTACAGGCATACAAGGAGGCTGAACACTGTGTACACAATAAATAAATAAATCTTTAAAAAAAAAACAGAATAGGTTTAAAACATCAAAACAGAACTTTATAAATCATAGAAACTCACTCTACAAAAGCTTCTTTTTTAAAAAAAATGCAAAATAGAGCCAGTATTGGCACATGCCTTTAATCCCAGAACTCAGGAGGCAGAGGCTGGTAGATTTCTGAGTTCAAGGCCAGCCTGATCTACAGAGTAAGTTCCAGAACAACCAGAGCTATGCAGAAAAGCCAAAGGGAGAAAAAAAAGTTGCAAAATAGCATTTCTTGTATATCTCTCTAATAGCTCAAAATCCACCTAAAAGCAGGTTAGCAAATGCAACTAAATATGAACAGACTTGTGTAAGACGGAAAATGGATTCTGGATTAGCAGTGGAAAATAAGGAACCAGAGCAGAAACCAAACCCACCCTCACTTAAGGAATACATGCTGTCAAAACTCCTGACACATGCTTTAAAAATAAGAGCAACTGCAGAAACGGCATACAACATGCTATTGGGACTCATGAACAGAAGAAAAAGCTTCACAGCAAACAGTAGCAGACTTAGATGTGATCTTATAGGTCACTGAGACTCCCGGCTCCCTGAATAATGGAAACCAAGTCACATCCATACCAACTCAATGCTGGAGCTCCAGGTCAGGAGCTCACATATACCAGGCAAACATTCTGCCACTAAGCTAACGGCAAGCCCTTGGAAGTCAAGTTTAAATGTTATGCAAGCAGGAAACCAGGATATCTGCCATTTACCTATGTATGTGTAAAAGCCACAGAGAAGCAGACATTTAAAAACTATTCTACCACAAAAGACAGAGCCCAAAACAAGGGGTGGGGAGAACACTCTAACAAAACAGAACTACTAGACAATGTAGCTAGTGGCAGCAATAACAGAAAAGACCACAAATTTCAGAATAAATATATCTATAAATGATATAGAGTATTTACGTGTAGAGACCTAACAACTAGCCCTAACCTGATGGCACTGTGTTTTTGTCTGCATGTATGCCTGCAGGCTAGAAGAGGGCACCAGACCTCATTATAGATGGCTGTGAGCCACCATGTGGTTGCTGGGAATTGAACTCAGGACCTTTGGAAGAGCAGGCAATACTCTTAACCTCTGAGCCATCTCTCCAGCCTCTCAGCACTGTGTTTTTGCTTGCCCAGAAATAACTGTTCTATCCCAGTCATTGAAGTGCTCAAACCTGAGTAATAATATACACATGTCCCCGTGACGACTAGAGAAACGTCACGTGGAGCCAGGCATCCCTTAAGGGTTGTTCACCTTTTGCTCTAGAATGCCTGGCAATCCTTGGGGCCAGCAGGTGAAATAAGAATAGAATAATGGGCTGGGAGGTGGTGGTGCACGCCTTTAATCCCAGTGATCAGGAGGCAGAGGCAGGAAAATCTCTGAGTTCACGGCCAGCCTGGTCTAAAGAGCAAGTTACAGGACAGGTTCCAATGCAATAGAGAAACCCTCTCTAGAACTCCCCCCCCCCAATAAAAGAATAATGGGCCATGAGGTATTAACAGCTGCCTTTGCTTCTGTAAATCCTGCCTAAGGATAATGGAAAGGGGATGAACGATCTCTTTATTACTAGATAGCAGGAAAGTAAAAACAAGTGAGGAAGTAGAACAATTTTCCTGCCCAGCTGTGGGTTCCATAGATAACTGAACACTCACCTTTCTTATGGCCACCTTAAAACTCACCTTAACCCTCCCTCCTGCGTGGCATGCTGTATTGGCTCTAAGGCTGCTATCTTCAGCTAGTAGCATGAATAAATTCATTCAGCAAATTTGAATTGAATCTAAGTCTCTGTGATTTCTCCCAGTGAATTCGAATGCCACAACATAGGAGCTCAAGAGATGGCTCACTGGTTAAAAGAAATCATTACTATTGCAGCAGACTGGGTTTTATTCCTAGTACCCACATGGTAGTTCAAAAGCATCTGTAATTCCAGTTCTAGTGGGTTAGATGGTCTCTTACCTCTGTGGGTACTAGGCATAAGTAGTGTAAATACATACACGTTTAGGCAAAACATTCATACACATAAAATTTTAAAAAATATAAAGTAAAAAGCAACTATCTAAGAAAAAAGAGAAAACTATTTTTGTTGGGTTTTGTTTGTTTGTTTTGTTTTTCAAGACAAGATTTCTCTGCGTAGCTTTGGAACCTGTCCTGCAACTCACTCTGTAGACCAGGCTGGCCTTGAACTCACAGAGATCCACCTGCCTCTGCCTCCCCAGTGCTGGGATTAAAGGCACGTGCCACCACTGCCTGCCTTAAAACTATTTTTTTTAAATCAATGAATTTTATTATAAGAAGTCAGTCGGAAATTAGACCTAAAAATTACAGGGAAAAGAATATGGTTCGGTTTCATATGTTCGGTATTACCTAACAGGGTATTTAGGAATGGCAAAGAAACAAAATAAGAAAAAAATAGAGAACTATTGGAACTGAGAGATGAATTTTCAGGTGAAAAGACTTACTTCAAAGAAGAAAATACAAAGGACAACCCTGGTGTAGGAGGTCCTTTTGTTTGTGTGTTGCTTTCATTGGTTATCAATAAAGAAACTGCTTGGCCTGAAAGGGCAGAACTTAGGTAGGCGCAGAAGACAGAACTGAATTCTGGGAGGAAGGAAGCAGAATCAGGAAAGGGCCACCATGGAGCTGCCAAGTCAGACATGCTGAATCTTTCTCAGTAAGCCACAACCTTGTGGTGCACACAGATTAATAGAAATGGGTTAAAATCAAGATGTGAGAGTTATCCAATAGGAGGCTAGAGCTAATGGCCAAGCAGTGTTTTAATTAATACAGTTCTGTGTGGTTATTTTAGCTGTAAGCTAGCCGGGCAGCAGGGATGAACAAAGGGACTCCCTCTCCTTGCAACACGACTCCCTACAACCAAATACAGGTTCATAAAGTTTTTAAAAAGAAGAGAAAGCAGCTGGTCAGTGGTGGCACACACCTATAATCATAGCACTTGGGAGGTAGAGGCAGATGGATCTCTGTGAGTTCAAGGCCAACCTGGTCTACAGAGTAGGCTCCAGGACAGCCAAGGCTACACAGAGAAGCCCTATCTCAAATAAATTAAAAGAGAAAGCTGAGTGTGGTAAAAGCCCAGTATTAGGAGGTAGAAGATCAGGAGTTCAGGGACTCCCTGGTCAAGTGAGACCTTGCCTCAAAAAGTAAAACATAAAGAATGAAAATCTGTGTTTAAAAAGGGAAATTAAAAAGCTTTAAAAGGGGTGTGAGGATGAGTTCAGTGATAAGAGTACCTGACCTAGCACGTATCAGGACCTAGGTTCAATCCTCAGTACTCGACAGAAGAAAAATATGTCAAGTGAAACTGAACTTGGTAGCATGTGTCTGCAATCCCAGAATTTAAGAGGCTAAGGTAGGAGGATCATCAGTGCAAAGCCAGTCAGGGTTGGTTATATTGCAAGACTCCGTCATAAAACCAATTCAACCAAACAGAACTCTGAGATAAGGAAGCAGTACCTTCACAATTTCCAAGCAAAGTGTTTTCTATCCTGCACTTGTGTATTTAGCCAAATTACCAAATTATGAAGCAGGTCTACATATGATATTTGTCACATTTAACTTCAGTCCTCAAAAATTACTGCTCATAGACCCTTTAAAGATCCAGAAAGTTGGTAAGGAATAAACTCTGTAGAAATAAAGGCATATATCAAGAAGCAGATGACATGGGATACAGGAAATAATGATAAAGATATTCCCAGGTATTACGGGCATATGGCAGCATGATAGGCCTCCAAGTGCCAAGAAGATAAAAAGCAATAATTAATGTGAGCCAGTCTGTGTCCCTGAGTGTATGTGGTACTTTGCCAGGTCTTTCAAGCAAGCCCCATCCACCCCTTCCTTTGCATTTCAGTGATTTTTAGTATCTCTGCCTGATAATTAAAAATAACAGTCGGTAATAGGTCACCATGTATAGCTGTATAGCGCATAAAGAAGCCAAAAATGCACAAAAGATTCAAACTCATTATACACAAATCTCTGCTTTTGAGAAACTCCTGTAGAGCCTGTGCTAGCACATAACAAAGAGCCTCGGTGTCCTGTTTCTCTGTAGAGAAGGCCTGAAACAGTAGGACTAGGTAAACAGCATGCTTACATGAGAAAGGAACTAGAAAGCAGAAGGGCAGAGTTGTGAAAACATCTGGATTTGGGGCCTTGGCACACTGAGGATCTTACACGTAGGAATGTTAGTGAAAAGTGTATGGAACACTATAAAAATAAAATAAATTTAACAACTCAACATTTCACCAATCCCAGAAAAACATAAAGCATCAAAAGAAAGTTTATTTTATGACTAAGATGTAATACTTGTACAGTCATACTAATATCAATAATAAATTCTAATTTAACTAAAATTAAGATACAATAAAATTTAGAAAATGAAAAGATGGATGGTCCTAAGTGTCATTTCTAGCCCTGTTGTAATAGAAAAGAATAGAGAAGCAAGTGATTTGAGCCTACATAATTCTTTTCTTTTTAGGGTTACTCTTATCCTGGAGTCCATGCATTTAACCATACTTCATAATACTCAATGCTTTGCAGGGATTAATAAATGATGCATGTTTATGGCTGTTGTGGCTCAAAAGAAAATGGCCCCCAAGGGGTTTGGCACTAATAGGAGGTATGGCCTTGTTGGAGCAGGTGTGGTCTTGTTAGAAGAAATGCTTCACTGAAGGCAGACTTTGAGTCTCATTTACGCTCAAACCATGCCCAGTGAGACAGCTCACTTCCTGTTGCCGACAAGATGTAGAACTCTTCAGCTCCAGCTCCTGCACCATGTCTCCCTGTAAGTTTCCATGATGATGATGGTCAAAATCTCTAAAACTGTAAGCCACAATAAATGTTTTCCTTTATAAGAGTTGTGATTGTGGTGTCTCTTCACAGCAAAAGGAACCCTAACTAAGACAATGGCCATTATTCACTAAAGGAAAATCTGTTTAGGAAACTCAAAGCTCAATTCTAATCAATATATTTTGGAAAACTTTGATTATAACAATATCTGGCCATTCTCCTGTTATGATTAAACAGCCTTCCCACATAAATTGAGACTACATTCCCTAGTAATGAAATCATTGCAGTTCTAAACAGAATACATTCCCTTCTTCTTCATTTGTGAGGAAAAGAAAAACAAAGTTTGATCACATTTTTACTTCCTCTACTTGTCTTTGTTTCCTTAGGCTATAGGAATTACTTCCTGGCTCTTTCCTCCTTCATCTGCTATTGTGTGACTGTATCTCCTATAGAACCAGGTGACCATGTTATTAAGGGGAGTTATGAGACTGATTAGGCCATAAGAGCTCCTCCCTTGGGGGCTGGAGAGATGGCTCAGAGGTTAAGAGGTTAAGAGGCTGCTCTTCCAGAGGTCCTGAGTTCAATTCCCAGCAACTACACATGGTGGCTCACAACCATCTATAATGAGATCTGGTGCCCTCTTCTGGCTTGCAGGCACACATGCAGGCAGGCAGAATGCTGTATACATAATGAATGAATAAATATTTTTTTAAAAAAAGAGCTCTCTCCCTTGTGAGACTGAGGTAAGGTCCCTTGGAAGAGATACTTTCCATACAACATTAAGTTAGTCTGTTCTTCTGCCTTCTACCAAAGGAAATTGTGTCCTCTCCTCCAAGGGATCCAGGAAGAAGGCATCACCTTGGAAACAAAGAGCAGCCCACACTGGGCAACTGAATCAGCAGAGCCTTAATCTTGGACTTCTTAGCTTGAGAATTATGAGAAAATAAATCTCTATTCCTTATACATGAATCAGTATTGCATCTATTGTTGCAGTAACATAGACAAAAATATCATCCTCCCTTATGTCCTAATTCCTAATGCTGCCAGATGAATTTACCCCAAAATTTTAAATACAAACGATATGTAGTTTCAAAGGCAGAAACTGAATTTTACAGTACCAGTATTTCTTTAGCACAACATGAACAAAATCAGAATGCTAGTCAGAATGAGAAAAAAGACAGACACTTATCAAATGAGTGTTTAGTACCTTGAACCTTTATATCCACTGAGGTCTTTGTCCATATCCAATTCAGGAGTGGATTCAATGATTGCTTGAACTTCTGATTTCTCTTCATTTTCAGCAGAATCTAAGGGGGGGATATAATGAAATAAGTGCGTATATTCTATTTATTTATGAAAACTCTCTTGCCTTTATGGTTTTAAATACAACTACTTTAGAATAAACATTTTTTGAAAGCTCTCAAGGCTGTGTTCTAGGAAACATGAAGTTAGAAAATGTCACATATTGAAATTACAGTTAATCTTCAGAACCAGTAAGTAACCAAAGCTAGTGTTTTCCTCTGTAGTTCTGGGACACATATGACAGAGACTGATACCATTCCTATTTAAAGGGGATGCCAACTGCCCACAATAGTAGTTCATGCCTGTAATCTCAGCATATTGGAAGTAGAGGCAGAAGGTACAGGACTTGAATGAAGGTCATGCCTGGTCACACAGTGAGCTTAAGGCCAGCCTAGGTTACATGATACTATCTCAAAAAAGTAAAACAATGCCTGCAGTCCCAGATATTCAGAAGCTAAGGCATGAGAACCACTTAGTTCAAAGCTACAACACAGTGAAGCTATATCATAAGCACACAAACCTATTTAAGACAGGGTACACAACAGACTATCATATTAAAGGTGGAGGACTTTAAGGTCTCTTCTTAGTCACTAACATTTTTTTTCTCAAAAACTTTGTATAAGTATTACTTCTTTTAAACTTACAATTGAACATAAAAATGATCTATTTATTTAATATATTTAGAGCAGGTAATATGTCTAAGAGATATATTTTCTCATCCTTGCACTTTGTGAGCTGACTGAATATTTTGCTAGTAAAAACTTGGAGTCACTTACCAGTAGATACATTCCTAGTCTCTTGGGCAACCTGTACTTCTATGTGTTTGCTTATCTCTGACTTATTTGGTGTGTCTGTGCCTTTTACAGGTCCTTCATTATCTTCCTTTAAGGGAGTGTCAGGAGGAATTGCTGACACATCGGAATTTGCTGTTGAAGCTGGAGTTGTAGCTTTAGATCCACCTTGACTAATATCAGAAAGTTCATCCTATAAATAAAAATAATAAAGAAAATTTTAAATAAAGTTATTTATTCTAAAATACCTTAAACATGAGTTAAGAAATAAACCTGCCCAAAGTTGTATTTAAAAAAACAAAAACCACAGAATCACTGATGGTAGACTATCTATAAATAACTGGATAATAGTTAAATAAATCCTACAGAGCCAGTGAGGTAGGTGGCTTAATGCAGCAGTTCCTAACCAATGGGTTGTGACCCCTTTGGAAGACAAACAACCTTTTCACAGGGGTCATATATCAGATAGTCTACATATCAGATAACAGTAGCAAAATTACAGTTATGAAGTAGCAATGAAAATAATCGTATGGTTTGGGGTCACCACAACATTAGAAACTGTATAATATAAAAGGTTGCAGCATCGGGAAGGTTGAAAATCAGAGGTTTAGTGGATTTAAGTGCTTACAGTGTAAATAAGCCTGATGATATGAGTTCCACCTCTGGAACCCAAGCCAAGATAGAGAGACAGAACTGCTCCAAAGTTATCTGCTGCCCACTACGTGCATACTGTGGCATGTGTGCACTCCCACACAAAGATCATGTACACTCAATAATAATAAATACAATTTACTTTTTTGTTGTTGTTTTTGAGACAGGTTTCTCTGTATATTCCTGGTTGTCCTGGAACTTGCTCTGTAGACTAGGCTGGCCTCAAACTCAGAGATCTACCTGCCTCTGCCTCCCGAGTGCTGGGATTAAAGGTGTGCGCCACCACCGCTCCAATCGCTATCTATGCCTGCAGTCCCAGATATTCAGAAGCTAAGGCATGAGAACCACTTAGTTCAAAGCTACAACACAGTGAAGCTCATGTCTGTAATCAATGCACTTAGGAGACTGAGACAAAAGAACTGTTATAAGTTTAAGTCTTTAAGAAAGGGGAGAGTGGGGCTGGAGAGATGGCTCAGTGGTTAAGAACATTGCCTGCTCTTCCAAAGGTCCTGAGTTCAATTCCCAGCAACCACATGGTGGCTCACAACCATCTGTAATGGGGTCTGGTGCCCTCTTCTGGCCTGCAGGCATATACACAGACAGAATACTGTATACATAATAAATAAATAAATATAAAAAAAAAAGAAAGGGGAGAGTGGAGAGGAAAGGAGAGGACGAGGGAGACCCCTGTATGTAGGGGTGAGGTGTAGCTTGGTGGTAGAGTGCTTGCCTAAGATGCATAATGTTCTCAAATCAATTCCTAGCAACACAAAAAACAAGGTTAAAAACAGGGGATATGTGAAGTCTGAACGTTTGTTATTACTTGTATCATTTGTGGTGTATGTGTTTGCTTTGTTGCTTTGGTTTTTGGTTGTTTTTTGAGACATAGTTTCACTCTTTTACTATATAATGCAGCTGGGCTAAATCTATGAGACTCAGACAGGCCTTGAACTTGAAATAGCCCTCCTAACTCAGCCACCAGAGTGCCAGTATTCTCAGTGTGGAGTACTACACCCAGCTCCAAAGTTTTTTGTTTTTTAAAAAAGCATGTAAAATGACTAAAAGTATATAATTTTTCTTATTATGATACCTTATCATTCAAGAAGACCTATGCTCTAAATCTGAGGGGGAGCATTTTCAAAGGAGCCTTGGCCTTCCAGACAGTGATGAAAAAGTTCCTACGAAAAGCAAAAAAGTCCTTTGACTAGAAGCCAAAAATATGCTTGATGCAGCAGAGAGCCTCCTGCCTCTGTCTCATGGAATGCTGGGATTACAGGTAGAAGCTACCTTGTCCAACCCTAGAGTTTTGAGATGTTTTATATGAATATGAACATGCCTAATAATACACATAAAAATCACACACTTAAATCTGGGAGTTGGGATGGTGGCTTATACTTTTAATCACAGCACTAGAAAGCTAAATCAGAAGGATAATGAGCTTAAGATCAGTTTGAGCTACACAGAAATCTTGCCTCAAAACTAAAAAAAAATAAGCTGGGTAGTGGCAGCGCAAGCCTTTAGTCCCAGCACTCAGGAGGCAGAGGCAGGTGGATCTCTGTGAGTTCAAGGCCACTGTGGTTTAGAGTTCCAGATAGTCAAGAACAGTGAAGGCTACACAGAGACACCCTGTCTTGAAAAGCCAAAAGAAAAAAAGAAAAGAAAAACAAAAAATTAAGAGGCCAACCTGTTCTACATAGCAAATCCCTGGCCAGCAAAGGCTACACAATGAGACGTTATCCCCAAAATATACATACATACATACATAATACATACATACACACATACATACATACATACATACATACATACATACATACATACATAAAGTAAATGTTATGCTCTTTATTTTGAAGTTAAAAAAATTGTGTCATTACTTTTGGTCTCATTTGGGGTATCCATAAAAGTAATCTGACCTCTGTAACACTTCCTACTGGAAGTTTTTGTTATCAGGCTACTAAAAGTCTAGAAACTAGAGGGATGACCTAGTGGTTAAGAGTCATAGCTGTTCTTCCAGAGGATCCAGGTTTAATTCCCAGCACCCACCTGGCAGCTAATAGCCATCTCTAATTCTAGCTCGAAGAGATCTAATGTACTTATCATGGCCTCCATGGGCTCCAGGCACACATATACTGCATAGATATAAACACAGGAAATATCATATAAAATAAAAATATATAAGTCTTAAGCTGAGAGTAATAGTGCATGCCTTTAATCCCAGCACTGGCAAGGGCAGGACTGCATGGTCTACATAGCAAATTCTAGGATAGCCAGGACTTCATAGAAAGACCCTGTCTCGGGGCTGGAGAGATGGCTCAGTGGTTAAGAGTACTGACTGCTCTTCCAGAGGACCGGGGTTCAATTCCCAGCACCCACATGGCAGCTCACAGCTGTCTGAAGATCCAGTTGCAGAGGATCTGACACCTTCACACCAATGCACATAAAGTTAAATAAACCATAAAAAAAGAAAAAAAATTTAAAAAAAAGAAAGACCCTGTCTCAAAAAAAACAAGAACAAACAGGAGGAGGAGGAAGGATTCTGTATAAGTATGTGCTAGTATTTGTGTATGTGTGCAGAGAACAACTTCAGGTGCCTTCCCTAGGCATTCCTCACAATTTTTTTAAGACAGGGTAGCTCATTGGTCTGGCATACATCAAATAAGCTAGTCCAGTTGGTCAGTGAGCCCAAGGGAAGGATTTGTCCGCCTATGCCTCCCCAGCACTGGTATTACAAATACCCATCAGCCATCTCCCCAGGCTGTCTGCTTTTCAGATCTAAAGTCTTAAAACAGATGAACATAAACAAATAAGCGCTCCTATGAAATTCTCAACCAGAACACCCACCACTTTCTAATTTTATGCTGATATTACTCTTTCCCCAAATAAAACTCAGCCTTGAAGGCAACTGGTATAGACTCTTGGTTCACAACTCTACAGCACACAAGGTGCTGAGAGGATATAAATTTTTAAAAAGGAGAAAAAAAAAGAGTTTGTTTAATGAGATTCCTACATGTCTCTGTGACTTGGGTGGAGAGATGGCTCAGAGATTAAGAGCACTGGCTATTCTTCCAGAGGTCCTGAGTTCATTCCCAGCACCTACACAGTGGCTCACAACCATCATAATGAGATCTGGTGTTCTCTTTCGGTGTGCAGGCAAAACACTATATACATAGTAAACAAATCCTTAAAAAAGGAGACTCTTCATGGCAGTTCCAAGAACAAAGTTGAATGGGGGCCCTGAGTAGAGCTGAAAAAACTCTTAAGCTGGGGAAGTAACCCTTGGTAAAAATGACACCCTGGGTTGTTTCCAAGGCTTGACAAACTATGTATATATACCCTGTATACTCTAAGCAAAGAATGTGTTGAAAGTTTCTTACCCAGAGTTGGATAAATGGAAAAGCTGAATTTTTCACAGAATACACTTACATGGTTTAAATTTCAAAATGCTTACTCTGAAGGAGGAGCAAGTTATAGTCACAGTAAAGCCCTGGCAACCACTGTAAATTATTTTCTTCTGTATTTCAGAGAATAACATCAATAGTCTTCCAAATTGAGCATGTGATATCTGGAGAATAGCAGTTTGAGAAAGTAACCAATAGTTAATCTCTTCACCACTCTCACCTCCTGCTCTACAGCCTTCAGAGGTTCAGGACTATGGCTGACCTGGGTAGAGGGAAAGATTATAAAAGAAGAAAAAAGATATATGTATTTACTTGCTGTTAACAAATGTGTATTTTTGGTTTACACTATTTCTTAAGCTATAGCTCCATCTATTACCTCCTCTTTAAAATGATGGTTTTGAAAGTCAGGTACAGCATCACTTGCCTGTAGTCCCAACTCTGGAAAGCTAAGGCAGAAGACTGAAGGCTGAATACTGGCTTGGGCTTACGGTAATTTCTGGGCCAGTCTTGGAACACAGCGAGTCCTTGTCTAGGGTGGAATGGTTTTCCAAGAAAAGATGCTTGCTGCCAAGACTGACAACCTGAGCTCAATCCTCAGAAACACATGGTAGGACAGAGTCAACTCCTGAAAGCTGCCCTCTGACTCCTCCATGCACATACATACACACACAAGTGCTTTTCTTTAATGTAAACGACATTAATACCTTATCTCAAGAAACAAAAATTATAGTCAGGCAGTGGTGGTACAAGCCTTTTGTTCCAGCACAGGGAGGCAGAGGCAGCCGATCTCTGAGTTAGAGAGCAGTCTTATCTATAGAGCGAGTTCCAGGGCAGCCAGGGTTACAGAGAGAAATCCTGTCTTTGAAAAAAAAAAAATACAAAAGAGAAAGTTTAGTGTTTCTTTGGCTCTGAACCACTACTGCTAAGATTCTAGTTTCATAATACCCTAGCTCATATTTTATTATTACTATTATTATTGTGTTGTGTGGTGTATGGGTACGTATATACAACAGCATATGTACAGAGGTCAAAGGACATCTTTTTAGTTCTTTCCTCTCACCGTGCTGAGGCAGGATCTCTGATGTTTCTAGTGCTCCCCGCATACTCCAGCCTAACTGAACCCCACGTTTCTGATAATTATCTG